ATAACTCCCTTTTGTTATTTTAACTATACCAACCATACCTCCCAGAAAAACTTCCAAACCTCTACTTTTTTTTTAAATTTTGTGGAAGTTTGGGATGCTTTTAAGAAATAGAACTGTGATTTGGCTGATTATTGCTGCCATAAATATTGAAGGCCTTGGGTGGTTGCTCTACGTATGGGGGACAGCTATATGTACTCCTTTGTCAAGACCTAAAATAACAAAGCTATTATTGTACTCACTTCTGTTGAGAAACAAAACAATAAAACATCTTATAATTTCATTTTATTTCCTGCCCATACTAAAGGTGCAGTCTTTTCAGGGAAACTGTTTACAATTTGCTTGCCATGACAGTGTTTTTCTTTTCGTACATGGAAAAAAAATACCAGATTGCTTGACTCAATTTTTGTATTTCTTTTTCCCAGTGCTGTATTATTTCCTCTTTTACGGTTCCGTGGCATAGATTATTAATATTATTGTCATTTTTGCATGAAAAACACTTATTTAGGGTATTTTAAAGGTTTAACTTTGAGCCATACATCTACATTTAAGAGACGCTAAGAAAGAATAACGGTAAAATAAAAAATTAGTATATTTTAGAAAAGCTTATATCAATAAATTTTTGGAAAACTTTGGAAAATTTGTATCCCTGGAAGCTGGCCTAAACTGGCCTAAGGGAAAAAAAGCAAAAGAGAAATTTCCGTTCCTCAAGGAAACATTAGTAAATATTTGGGTTGCTCACTGCAGCCTCTGAGTGCAGTAATGATAATAATTAGCAATTTATTGTTCTCTAGCAGTGGCACTGTTGTGTTTTTAATGCTGTTCTTTTCTGCACTGCAAGTGTAAATTCTTTCTTTACCTTTTAGGTACAGTTGAGAGTAAAGCCTACATTCACTATGAGTTTACAGTTTCCAATGTAAGTATTTTATTTTAAATGATCTTATCTTCATTTTCAATTTTTATCAATAGTGCCTTCAAAGGGCATTCTTTTCTCCCTCCTTATTACCCTACAATATTTACTGAGAAGCAAAATATTTGACAAAGTCAAAGAGGAGTCATGTTCAAAATACTGTAATTTAACTGGGATGAAAATCTGCTATTTGTCTTTTCTTCTTCCAGTTAATATAAGTATCTAAAAAACTCCTGTTTCCTTTCACATAACAAACTCAGCAGCAATATTTATTGAGCAAGAGAACTGTAAAGCATCAGTAGCAGTTAAAACAGGGTCAGAAAGGAGGTGAATGTAGTGTTTGGGATTCTCAAAATGTTAGAAATTTGAAAAAAATCTCTGTACACTGTAAAAATATAGCTGAATGTTTCTAAAGGGTGAGAGGAAGACCTACGCCTTGTCTGAACCCACAGAAACTACTTCAGGACTAAGTTTTTGTTTTTAAATTTTTTTAAACTGAAACTGCCTTGGCAGGGTTAATTTATGGCAGAGTGAAGTCCAGAGAGTGTTTCTATTCAATATTGTCTGGAGCTATCATGTGACAAGGATTCCAAGTAATATGGTAACATATTTTTGGTATAATAATAATATCTGTTAAAGGTATTCTTTCCCTTGCCATGGTGAAAGAGCAGGGCAACAATTGAGAGAGAATGCATAGAAACATGGGGGTGGAAGCAAAGGAACAGAAGGTGGACGCACATGCTTTAATTATTTTCTATAACCATTACATTAATATATAATCATGTATTCATTTGTAGATAAGAAACCTCAGTTACTACTGGAGTTTGAAACTTTTAGCTAAATCATCAGTTGACTGTAATGATGTTGAATTAAAAATTAACATAAACTTTCACATGGAGACTAATAAGAAACACACTGGCATATGTGACAGCCATGGTACAGTTCCTCTCTTTGGACTCTTAATCTAATAATAACTAATGCAATTGAATAGGAACTGGTATTTTTGTATCAGGAGAAGTGAATATGAACCTTCACTGGTTATATCCCAGAGAGATCACAGCTGAGTAGAGGTTATCTGCCCTGTCACAAACACATGTCAGCCTTTTCTTTTTTCCAAAACAAGCAAAAAAAGGAAGCTGAAACACAACTATGAAGCATATTACATATGTATTAGAAAAGCATTATTGCGGAACAACAAGCAGGACAATAATTAATATGTTAGGAAAAAGGTATTGGCTTACTTTATGCTACAGTATGAAGATCTAATTAGAAAAAAAAGTTACATCAGGAGAATTTTTGGCAGGTTTTTTTATCAGAAAGTGATCACTGTATTATTTTTCAGAATGTTCTTCAAATGAATGCTATAAACAGCAATTATGCTGATCCAAACAACTTGAAATTTGAAGAAATCAAGATACTGGGAGCGCTCCAGGAAATAACAGCAGTTATTGTATCTCAGAACAATGTTGTGGAAAATTCCCCACTTAATATCACTTATTATCCTCTAGAAAAGGTAAAACAATAACAGGAAAATGGGAAGTAAACATCTTTGAAATTGCATCACTGTTATTTTATATATTGCTAAGAACAGTACTCAGTACTAATGTCATTTCAAAGGAATACATCGTGTATTTTATTACAGAAAAAAATTACAATTGCATTCAACTCAGCTGCATAGAAAGTGCATCTAAGTTTTGCTCGCAGACCCTCAGTGCCACAGAAAGTTTAGTTATGCAGTTATTCATGTAGCAAAATTTAATTTCTAAGAGGAGGGGTAGCTTTGTGATTTTGTTTGATATTGGAGGAGGATACAAAGTACGTATGGTTTAGGTGAGTATTTGTGCATTGATTTTTAAAACAAAATCAAGGGCACTGTTTAAGCCTCCTTTATCACTTTATACAGAGTTTTTCACAGGATGAATACAGGAAAGCAGCAACACAGTGCATTCATGTGCAAAGCAAGTGAACACGCTGTTGCTAGCGGGAAGCTTTCATGCAAGTGCTTTCCCACACTAAGGATAGTGCTGGCATTGCTTTGAACTTGCATTGTACACCCTCTTTAATTATTACAAGCACCTGAGTTACCTGTTATGTAATCTCAGTTACTGACTCAAAATAAAAATATTTTAACTTATTCTTATCTCTTGCATTCATATTTCAAAACATGAAGGAGTGTTGCCCTTATCTTTATTCCTGTTTGCTTCCAAGGAAGCTGTGGGGTTGACTCTATTTTTTTAGATTCTTAATTTTTCAGATTTTATCTGCAAGAATATCGATTGTGTATTATTTGTAAAAGTGAGACTATATCAAATGTTACAGGACAGGTTTTTTTCTGAGTTGTCACATAGCAACTGAGGACCGGCATCTCTGCTGACTGAAGGAAAGATGATTGTGATGTGGGATTTAATAACTGTTTATTGTTTAATATTTATAGGTTGCTCATATAACAGGACTTCAGCTTGAACTGGGAAAATCTTACACGGTAAAATGGACTCAACAACTGAGTGTCAATGAAAGGTTTAATTGTTATCCCAGTCCTAATCCAACACAAGAAAAATGTGAACAACTTGGCTGCATCTGGGAAGTAAGCAAAAATGATTTCTCTAAACTAATGAGACAGAAGTGTTTCCAGAATCATAGCCGTCTCTTTATAGTTGTTACAGTGGAAAAAATAGTCTGGCAGATTTATATAAAATGGGGGCACAGACAGCAGCAGGCCTGTACTAGCAGATTTTATTTACCTCACTAAAACGAAGGTAGTTGGCAACCGTGTAAGCTCTTCCAAAGTATATCAGAAATTGAAAAAAAATGTGGTATTTTTTGAAAGATGGAAAGAAATAATATTAGATTTATGAAAAACTAGAGTAGGCTTGAGATCAACATCTTCAGCTACCACCTTCTGCTTCACTGTGGCCTGCAAGGCTTATCCCCTTTGTCTCACCTTCATAGTCACTGAGGCATGTTTTAAGTCAAACCGATTCCTCTGGATCTGTTTGAGAAGAAATCTTTGAATCCCCCTGGAAATTTTGATTCATATGTGAGCTTAATTGTTTATATCCGTGTCGAGGAGGTATTTCCAAATCATATTCCCCAACATGCAGTTCTTAACCTCATAATTTTATTTATTAATATCTCATGGCATATGGGAGCAGCATGCCCTGGCAGAGTTGAACTCTAGAGGGTCCCTCCAATTAAATTACTCCATGCTTCTCTAAATCTAAATTTTACAGCTTGGACATATATCCTAGGCATGAAGACCAAAACTCTCTGCTAGCTACTCTTGAACCAGCAACAGCTGAAGTGGTTGATGGACTGTCCTGATTTTGTTGCACTATTAGGAGTATTTTTTGTAATTTTGGCCATTTGGAAATGGCTTTTCGTGTGGAATCAAACTCTGGTCCTGTTATGGACTGGGTATGTTTTGAACACTTGCTCAAGTTGAAAGGTGTTTTGAATTTGATGACGACAGATGAATAAATACTCATTAGCGATCACGATGTGCGGAGCAGTCATAGTTTCATTTGAACAACTAGGCAGGATTAACGGTACGTATCCAGAGGTGGAAGGCTAATGCATTAACCTACATCAGCTCATCTAACCTCAGAATACCGAGTTTGAGTGTTTATGTTCAATTGTGGCAGGAACCTGAGGGTAATTTTGATCTTGCTGTGCGGAGATCTGAGATAAATAGGATGTAATTCTCAGTGGATATTTTAAGGATAATTCGTGTGAACAGAGCCAATGGAAAGGTCTCATCTGATGTTACCTGAATATATAATGAGTTTTTGGCACATCCCCTTGTGTGAGCCAGAGACCAGAGAGCAATGGGATTAAAAGGGAGGAAGCTTTAGGAATTTCAACAGGCCAAGACTAAGCCATGTTGTGGGACTTGGGCTGAAGATCACAGATACAGGGAAATTAAATCCACCTTCATTGTGTGAGGATTCAGTTTGCTGACTGAACTATTTGTACAGCCTTCACTCGGTTGTTTGATTATATCTGATTTAGTGTAGAGATCCATGGGTTCTGTATTACTTCTTTATTGTTCACTAGTTTCATTAAGTTTTTCCCCAAATTCTACATTTGACAGCTATCTGATAAACATGGGAGTTTTGGATTCCATGCTAATAACTAAAAAAAAATACAGCAGGCCAGTGTAGCTCACTAACCTGTAACTTATTTCTGTTTGCAGCAAGTAACGTCAAACTTGGATATTCCACCCTGCTATTACAGCTCTGACAATGCTTACTCTGTAGACAAAGTAGAATACACCTCATCAGGTTTGGCAGCCAACCTCACCTTAAATAGTACCAAGACCAGAGCTAATGAGAATTTCACTACACCGATTAGTACACTCCGCTTGGAGGTGAAATATCATCTCAACCACATGCTGCAATTTAAGGTAATGTCATTCCAGAATTTCTATGAGTATGTAATGTCCCATTGTTAAAAATAGTCTTATTTATGGAAATTATAAAGGCTTTTTATAGTCAATTTTTTATTACACAGACAGTAGCACCCTTGCCTAAGTATGTTTCTCCATCTAACCAAGTAGCTGTTATTGCTCTTAGCTCATATCTTTTTTTTGTCCTGTAATTCTGTACCTGGTTTTACAATGAAATTATATGACTCAATCGTATAATGTCAACCAGAAACTCTAGAACTAAAGACATTTTATTAGTACACAGGTAAATTTATCTAAAAGCATTATCATGACTGTACAGTTTATTTTTGCATTAATCATTCTACTTCTATTCTAAAATTTTTAATACACTATTGTTTAGACTATAATTCATTACTGTTCATTTAATAATAATGAAATAAGTATGATGCCTTAAAATGGTCAAGCATCAAAAACTAACTTCTGTCAGCTTTCAGAATACAGAAAACTTTAAAAAGAATCTCTTAAAGTTGGCTAAAAGATTAATCAGAAAGGTATTTACCATACTTTTTTATATATATATACACACCCCCTTATATTTTACATATAGGTATATACTTTAAATTCATATATATAAATGATTAGACAAGTCATTCCTGATCCAAAATAAATCATTAAGGTTTTGGGGTTTTTTTTCCCAAACCAAATACTGTGAAAGAATTGGTTAAAGAATATGTCTTGAAAGAAAATACTCATCTCACCAAGGGTTTTCAACAATTTTCTGTATTCATATTAACTAATTCAGATTTCTATCACTATAGGTAAGATTTCAAACAACTCATTCATTGAAATGAACTGATTTTTACTTCATAGATTTATGATTATCAAAATGCACGATACGAGGTTCCGGTACCACTAAATCTCCCAAGCTCCCCAACGAGCACGGACAAGGAAAGACTCTATGAAGTATCAGTTCGGAAAAAACCATTTGGTATACAGGTTCAGCGCAAAAGCACAGGAACAGTCATGTAAGCCATAATTATTTTATTTTATTATTTCACTTGGTTTTGTTAGCTCTTTTCAAGCCAAACCATTTTCTTGTGTACTACTTTTTAAATACCTCAAGACTGGCTTTTGTATCCTTCCCATGAAATGGCTCTGTCTGCCAAATGCCAGATGCTGCTCCAGTGGAGATGGCTTCGCCATTGCGTTGTATGAGAGCACTGGCCAGGGGGAAGACAGAGAAGGTTCCCAAGCAATATCCTATTTTTTCTCGTAATTATCTAAGGTTTTTCTCCTGTCGCTTCATAGTCTGACACTTGCTAAAAGTCCTCTACAACATGTTGAAGTGCAGAACATAGACAACTCCAAAGGCCGTTTCTTGTGTAGTTCCCAATGATGTTAGCAGTTGCATGGTGTTATGGTTTTTATTCAAAAAAACATTCTTATGTCATTTTTTAAAGTACTCAAAACTTAATTGCAAGCTGAGTTCCTTTTTACCAACCAGAGTAATCATATAAATTGCAATTCAACTTCCTGGAATGATGTAATTCTTTGGCAGAGCACCATCAGGTTGCAGTTTTTGGTTTCCGACTGTGAAGATGCTGATTTACAACAAATGAGACCTATGAGTACAGTTTCAGTGTAATCTGCACAAAAAGTTCAGTGAACTGTAAAAAGCACCTTATTTACTATATTTCAGGTGGCACCAAGGATCAGTCTGGGAGGAAAATATGATCATACTCTCCTGAAACACATTTTCTCACTAAATTGCCAAAATATGATGCAACTTGACGTGCATGATGCATGTGCATAATATATATCTCTCTGAGAGACACAGAGGACTTTGTGTCTCTAAACTGTGTATCAAATTTTTAGACATCCCTATTTCATGTGCTTTAAGTTTTCTTGATAACCATAACAGTTTTATTCCACCTTTATTGAAGAGTGAGATTTTCAGAGAAAAAGAGTAGCCTAAAAAAAGTGTCTGCCAGCTAAACACGACACTGAAGACACTACATTCTTGTTTTGATTTTCCTCTTTCTGTTTTAGCTGGGATTCACAGCTGCCCACCTTCACGTTCAGCGACATGTTCATTCAGATTTCTACCCGCTTAGCATCCCAGTATATATATGGATTTGGAGAAACTGACCACACCATGTTTCGACGTAACATGAGCTGGCACACTTGGGGAATGTTCACAAGGGATCAGCCTTCTACTGTAAGTAGAAACAAATGTAGCTCTTGGACAAATGAGCCTAAAGTGCAGAGGTGTTCGGCAGGACTTTAAAGTCCAGTGGATGTCCACTGGTACTGGACACACTTATTGACTTTGATCCTATTTATCACGACTTATAATTTGGATGGTGTCTCAATGGCAATGGTCTTCTCTAAAACTATCTGTTTGTGACCAGCGAGACCGATGTGTGGAGCTCAGGCCCTGAGTCAGATGTTGGAAGACAGCAAATCGCTTAGAAATAACAGCACATTACTCCTTTTTTTTATTCTTCTCAGCGAATTATTCTGAAAGCTTGACATGAGTCAGGACAACTCCCACTACTTTGGGATTAAATTAGTACTTAGAGAGGTAAATCAGAAATCTTATTTCTATGTGTATACTTTTGTTATTTCCTGCAAGATAGCACAATGTTTGCAATTTGCAGGGAATGACTAATGAAATAGTGGTGGTTAATTATAGCTGTAATTTCCAGTTCAGGTGTCAATATATTTTTGAGTAAATGAAAGATAACAGAATGTCACCAGCATCTCCTGATCATATAGACACCTGCTACTGTTTGAAAAGAAGGCAAAGTTTTGTCCTGGGGAAGCACTTTCTCATTAGCAAGCTTTAAAGGCAGCAATACCTTTGCTTTCCTTCCTGCCTGGTCAGTCTGAACAGGACTGACTCAAATTGTGAAGTTGAAAATGATCTTCTGTAGGTATGTTTTGTAGGTATGTTTTGTAGGTATGTAGGGTGTAAGTGTATAATTTTGGAGTTTATTTGTTGTATGTTTGGCAGTTGTGTATCTCATCTTTTATTAAATTTATTAATAAATGTGAATAAGTGAATGCTTGTGATGTTTCCCTAGTAGAATGTATTTTATTTTGTTTGCAGTACAAGTTGAATTCCTATGGTTATCAGCCATTTTACATGGCTCTTGAAGAAGACGGCAATGCCCATGGAGTTCTCTTGCTTAACAGCAATGCAATGGGTAAGAAAACCTTTATTCTCTCAATGTATTTTATTGTTATGGTCAGTGTTTTGCAATAGTGGCGAATCCAGGCATCCTTTTCTCATTTCACTTCCCCCATTTCCAGATGTGACGTTCCAGCCGACCCCTGCCCTGACGTACCGCACCATTGGAGGAATTCTCGACTTCTACATAGTTTTGGGCCCAACACCTGAACTTGTTGTTCAGGAGTACACTGCAGTAGGATTCTTACTCTATTACAAACTAATGCTGTGTTTTGTTTGGTTGGTTGGTTTGTTTTGTTTTCACCTACTCACCACAAATATTCTTTCTTATTTTTAGCTTATTGGACGACCAGTCATGCCACCCTACTGGTCTTTGGGGTTCCAGTTGTGTCGTTATGGATACAGGAATGACTCAGAAATCGCCCAGCTGGTGGAGGGCATGAAGGCGGCTGGGATTCCCTATGTACGCTGGTAGCAGTTAACATTTGCACTCATGCCTGAACTTTTGGCTTCAGAGTATTAACTAAGACCATTTAAACACAAAATCAAAAACCAACCAAAAAAACCACCACCATGGTAGAGTAGAGCAGACTATGTTTTATGCCAGAGCTGAACATCTCTGCACACTCTGTGCCATGTTAAATGTAGGCATCAGGCTGCTTTATCTTCCTTATCATTCATTCCAAAGAAGCACGCAGATGCCTTAGTCAGTCGTGGACTCTCGCCATGGTGGCTATGGAGGAGCAGTGATAAACAAGAAAAAGAAGCAGGAAAGAAAATGAAGCAGCATCATTTCAATGGTATATTGCTCTGTGTCAAGTCAGCTATGATTTGGCACAGGTTGTTGTTGGGAAAGTTGGAATAGCACATAGATCTAACAAAAGTATGCTGTAAATTGAACGTGACTCTTCACTTTAAATGTAATTAACATCACTATTTCAATACAGAACAGCTGTTTCCACTGTTTCCTTATAGATATGGTAACATATGTGCAGTTTCTGTATACATACACATATGTACAAATTCAGGACTTTTTTCTGTATCACGTATTAATTTATACCCTCAGACTAGATACAGTAGTGAAAGGTTTATTTTGTATTGGACTTGCTGACAGGTTGTGTAATATTCATTTAACAGCTTTAGCTTTTAAGTTACAGCTGCTTCCAATTTTACAGTTCAAAAGTTCAGTAGTTTACTTATTTTGGCAGATTTTCAATAAACATGTATTTGGCAAAAAGGAAAAAAGAAATTTTACATTAATTGTTTTTGTGAACTGCAGGATGTTCAATATGTAGATATTGACCATATGGAAAGGCAACTGGACTTCACCATTGGCACACGTTTTGCTGGATTACCAGCTCTGATTAACAGAATAAAAGAAGAAGGAATGAGATTTATCATTATCCTGGTCAGTTTTGAATACTGCTTTTAAATTTCAATATATCATTGCAGAATGCAGAATATATTCAACAGCATTTCTGAACTTGTTTTTTGAGCATGACGGTAAAAGTGTTTTTAATTGTAGGATCCAACCATCTCTGGAAATGAAACCAATTATCCTACTTTCTCAAGAGGTGTGCAGGACGATGTCTTCATAAAATGGCCCAATACCAATGACATTATATATTCCAAGGTACTGTTCTTAAAAAGTTGATGACAGTAGAGGCATGCTGTATCCGGGTGAGAAACATGCCAGCCTAGACTTCAGTGCTAGCCATAGGGGGAAAGTCTGCTAATGGTATTTTCATGCCTGGCTGTAAATGACACATTGAATAAATACTACAAACCGAATTGTCTTCAGTTTGTGTTGTTATTCACATAGGTATCAGGGAAGAATGGTTATATCTGTCTGTTGCTAATGCTCAGTTTATATTCAGTGTGGTTTGATTATTTTAAAATGTCCTTTGTCCTATTAGGTTTGGCCATTTCTTCCCAATGTACAAGTCAATGAGTCACTGCCCGAGCAAACCCAAATACAGGTAAATGTTGATCTGATTTGGTTATGGACTCAAATATAGACAGAGCAGCACATTAATTAAGGAAAATAACAGCAAACTAGTTGATACATCTTGTGGGAGGAATATAGTGCAGAAACTGGCTAGCCTTCCTAACAGAGCCAAAAAAGCTAGTGAACAAGTAATTTTTTTTTTCAATTTTCAAATTTTTTAAACAAATTCCAACATTTTAACAGTGGGATGCTTTCAATCCTATATCTGTTTTGTTTTCCTACTATTTTTACAGATCTACGGAGCACATGCTGCTTTTCCAGACTTCTTCCGCAATTCCACAGTGGGGTGGTGGAAGAGAGAAATCCTGGAGTTCTACAGCAATCCCACCAACCCCTCGAGAAGCATCAAGTTTGACGGCCTGTGGATTGTAAGTGTAGAAATGCATTCGATTTCTGGATTTTTTTTCTCTGCCAGACACTAGCAGAGAGGGCCACACTTCACTGCTGTTGAAGCTCAGAGGGTATCTGGTGTTAAATTGCCATTAAGTAAAATAAAAGAACAGGCTGAAGGGAAAGCAAGCAGAGCAGCAGGCAGAACCTGAGCCCCCAGCCAAAGGCACCACTTCGGCTCTAAGTCGTACACTTGCACTGCCTCGATATATCGTGACTTTCTCCCTCCACTGTGACACTGTTTGCACAGGGGAAACAGAACCCAGACTCGCTGCTCTTTCCTTGAAACACTTTGTGGCTCTCTGTCCCTGCACCATGCCACATGTGAACATGTCAGGAAAACATGGAACAGCAGATTGAGACTGCAGCTGCAAGGGCTCCGGGGGACTTCTACAATGTTGCTTGTTTGTGGTTTAGAATTTAGTGTGTTTTGTACGTTTGAAGCAAATACAATCAGGTTTTGGTTTATGTTTTTAGGACATGAATGAACCAGCAGCTTTTCTGAACGGAGCCATTGATGGTTGTAGAAATGACCTCCTAAATATGCCACCATATATACCTCGTAAGCCTGATCACTCCTTAAAACAGTTTTAGGTCATTCTGGTTACTATGTAATTTCTTATATAGTATATGTGGTGCAAATGCCTAAAGTGAGGTATATAAAACCACAACTCCTAACTGAAAGTGGCCCTTCTTTTCTGAGATTATTGGCACACTTCAACCCCATCTGTTTCAGTGGGAGCAGTAACTGCATGGCACTTTTTAAAAACAAAGTTATTTTCAGCTACTTGCTTGCACATGGATTTTGATACCTATTTTATATCTAGGTGCTTTGCTTTTTAGGCACGGTAGAGAACATAGTTCTCTGTTTTGCAGTTTTCTCCGATGAATAAGGCAGTTAATTAAAAATTTAGAAAATATCCTGTGTCTCCTCTCATTAGCATTTGTCTATACAGTCAAATGCTTGAAATACTTAGCTTTCTTAGTTTGACTTTACTTAAGTACTGGTGTAAAGTAGTACTAATTAGTAATTATTTGTTAATTGTTTATTAGCATACTCCTGTTGCTTACAGTTGTCTTCAATTATTATGAATAACTGAATTTTCAGGAATTGTCAGGAAGTTAATATTCAGACACAGAACATACCCTCCTCCTCCTCCCCATTTTTCTGTTTATATGGATGATGTGACAGTGTTTACAAAGATTTGCAACATCATCTGAATTTGGATATACTCTGTTTACTCTTTGAGCCTCTTCAGTAAGAGCATCTGTAACTGAGCTATTAACACACTTACAGACCCAGATGCCGACATAGGAATATTAGAAATATTTCATTTCAGAAAACTGGGAATGCTATTTTTATAATCATGAATTAAAAAATGACAGTATACATGCCTAAAAGAGAGTGAATGACAAAGAGATTATGAATATTAAGAAAAGGTAACTCAAATCATTATTGAATATTCTTTTTTTTTTTTTTTTTTTTTTTTTTTTCCCTTTCCATTAGATTTGGGCTACCGGTCAGACGGATTAACTGTCAAAACTCCATGCATGGAAGGTCAACAATATCTTCCAGATGGTACCCCTGTTAGACACTACGATGTCCACAGTCTGTATGGATGGTCACAAACAAAACCTACCCTAGAGTAAGTGAAGTTTGTACACTTTCTTGTTGTCTCCAAAATATGTTACAAATGAATATTCTCTGTCTACATTCTTACGGCCAAAACTTTCATCAGTTTATTTAACG